TATTTTCAATTTCTATATTACACTAAGAATATTGTATACACTCCCCTTACAGAAACTAAAACCAAAAATGATTGCCTCTACTCACTGTTAATGCCCGTCAGTCCTGGATTCGCTCATTTGTCTGTGCCATAGACCTCTACTGTTGTTCAAAAATGATTACAGCAAAACACACAGCTGCACAAGCTGACATGTTATTTCATTATGAAACATAAGACCCTAATATTTTTTTTAAATGTTGCCCCAAGTGCTCCAAGGAGCCACAACTAAGTAAAGAACTGAATGAGAAAAAAGAAAAGAAGACAAAGAAGAAGAAACCCCCCCCCCCTCCCCATCCCCCTTTCTACCCTTTACCCCCGTACCCCCATGTTCATCAATCATGGTTTCTATAAAACTCTGGTACCATTGGTTTTATGCTAAAATCAATTGCAAGTCTGGTTTTGGTGTGTTACTGTGTGTTTTAAACAATACCTTGGTGTGATGCAGCGGCTCTCTGTTAGACACCAGATCTCGGACAAAACTTTGTATTGTTCACCTCCTCCATCCTAATAGCGAGCAATAAAGAAAGCTGTTAGCTCTAAAACATCTGTTTATGTTAGCTTGACTCTAGATGTGCCAACTACTCCCAAAACTTTGACTGCATTCTTTAAATATTTTATTGCCGTTATCCCAAATCAGGCACCATTTGCTGCCATCCAATCATTGTGAGCACAGACTTTCTGCCTTACAGAGAAAGGCAGCTAATGACACAGCAGGATGTAGTGCATCGGCTAACAATGGGTTCTTTATTGAAATACCTGAGTAGAGAGCTGCCCCTCTCCCCTGGTTTCATTAGAACTTTGGGGGTAGTCATAGGAACAAGGGAGAACCACAGAGGAACCAACCACAGCACAGACTGGACTGTCGGGGCTATGAACTGACCAATCACCACCAAGAATACCTGAAGAACAGAGGATCTGTGTTATCATGAAAAAAAAACCACATTGTAAGTATTTAATTTCATTTTCAAATTAGGAAAACCTTTCTATAATTAGTTGTACTCTGTTGTTACAGTAATAATCTGTGAACATTAAAAAATGTATACATTTCTACAACAATAATTTATTGATAATGTATTTGTTCCCTATATTATTTTGAGTATTAAAATAACATCCAGACTCGGTGTGACAACAAGATCAGATAATTGAGCGAGCCTAAGTAACAGTTGTTACAACTTATTATATTTGGTGTTATATCTTATTTGGACATCCGGGTTTTCTCAGTTGAGATACTTGTTAAAGAATAAGAATGTGAAGGACTGGACTTGATCACAGCTGGATACTTTCAAGATAAGCATTGGACCTCTTTGAGTCATGATGGAAAATATTAAAATATTTACTGACGTCAAGAATGTTAATATGCATAATGTAGCTCTGAATTTAACCTATAGTACTTATTGCCCCACAGATTGCCAAGACTTTTACTGGCAGCTGCAGTACAACATGACACTTACTGAAGATGTACATCTGTTACTGAAACAATTCTCCAAACTGTTAAACACACATCAGCTTCATGATTTTCACGCAGCACTAAACTGTCAAGCTCAACACTTGAAGTTGATTTAGTTCAGTCAGTGTGGAACCTACAGACAGATGTTAAGTTAGCTGACCTTCATAATGCTAAATATGGATTCCATCATGACTGTCGCTGGTGTAAGCCTACCTCTCAGAGAGAGCGTGACAAGCAGCCAGCAGCTCTGCGCCATCTCCTGCTCTTTCTGCCCTGGTTACTTGTTGTGTCTGTGGCCTCCTGAGTGCCCTGGTTGTTACTTGTTGTGTCTGTGGCCTCCTGACCCCTTCCTGTGCACCGTCTCTGTCCTTTTCCTTTGGCTCGGTGACAGTTTGTAATCCTTGTTCACAACTAACCTTCTTCTACCGTTTTGTTAAGTCAGTGATATGTGTGCTTGTCTTTCTACAGAACAAACACATATACAGTAGGTCAGAATGTCCAACTTCCCTTTTATTGCTCAGCCAACAGGGAACTGGTCTTTCATGTCAGCAAAGGAAATGTACAATATGTAACTGTGTGTTGGTCGGACAGTGTGTCCTCATGTCCTCCTGTACGGTCTGCTGCTTCTCACAGCTCTCGTGCCCCGTTTGTCCACGTAACCTGACGTCACGCGTGCCCCTGTGTGCACAGCTGACCGCACACAGGACGAGCGCACAAGACCGACAGACAAACTTTAAGTAACTAGGTTCAGCACGTCCAGTCTTCCAAATGTTCCTCTCCTTTCTGTTAGAAGCGGGCGAAGGCGGGTTTGGTTGATAGGAAGTCTGAAACGTGCCGCTGAGACACGGGCTCCGTCTGCTCCCTCTTCACCGGGGTCAGTAACCTGTGAAGACAACAAAACATGATTTACTGAAAACTGGGATTTATCTCTGGTGGCGTTTCAAGCGGACTGCCGAGCGTTTTCGATGCAGACACGTTTGGCTTTTTCTGTCCATCAAAGCGGACGAAGAACAATAAAATAGTATTTCTTTTCTTTCACAAAAGGACAAGGCCAGGACTCTACCTGCTGCAACAAGAGACAGGTGAGTCTCTTTATGGCTGTTGGCCTGTTGACCGTATTTCAGCCCTGTAGTTTCACCTTATCTCTCAAGAAAGTATCGAGCTATTCACCTCATTTTAGCTTCGTTAGTTCTTATAGTCTGCCTAGGAAAAGCTGCTGGAAAACTAAAACTAGCTTTTGAAAATACAAATTTAGTGCAAAAATACTATAATTGTATCATTTTGACTCTGTGAACATTTTAGTATATTATGCTTTAATAATGCCCTTTGGTCTGTTGAACCTGTTAACCATCTCCATCCCAAGGCTCTCATTAGCCTGATGCAGCCCAAAATAATAAAGTGATAAGTACAAATAGCCTGCCATAACAAAAACTGGATTTCATAGCCTTTTGTAATATTAGAGCCTGTAATTAATATATTGATGCTGTAATGTAGGCTGGCTTAAGGAAGGAGCCGGAGACAGAAGATGCCTTTTTCTCTATTATTTACACACACTCTGGCCACCAACACAACAACAATCCCTGCTAAACCCACAACTACACAAAGTCTGGCCAGAGGGGCGTTATGGGGGATCCCGCCAGGTGCTTACCCCCTAAGGCATTCTGGGGGACTCTGCCCTGCTCCACTGGCTCGCTGGCTGGCTTGCCAGACAGGCCTTCTTCTGTCCAGAGCCGTAGACCCACACCAGTGTGCCAGTGACAAAGCCCCCTTCAGGCTGCTGTCTGTTGTGTGGCAGTGTCCCAGTCCTCTGCTCTTCCTGCAGTTCCTCTCATATGAGCTGGCTTGTCTGGTCTCAGTAGACACCCCCTGGGAAAGCGGTGTAGCCCCTGGCTGGCTCTGGTGATGTGTGGCTCTCCGGGTGGCTGCTTCAGATTTGCGGTTGGACACAGCCCTTCCCTACAGACAGTGTAGAGCGCCACGGCATCCACACCCAGGCAGAGTGTAGCCCCAGGCACATGCACCATGGCCCCCCACTCTGCCAGCAGGTCAAGGCCCATGATGAATGGATCTCCCTTCACCTGTGCGCTCTTGCCAGTCATAGTGGTGATGCGGAGCTGGGTAGCTTCCCAGCCCTGTGGTCTCTGTCCTCTCGTCACCAGCAATGTCCCTGGGCATACCAAAGAGAGGGTGGACCCAGGTGCCCCTCCCTAAGACATTATGGGGGACCCTGCCAAGTGGTGTCTCTCCATCCCCCAACACTACAACACATTAGCCTAGGAAATAAAATGTTTCTAAATAACTAACCATAAGGTAAAGCTACACCTTAACTCACCCCCCTGTGAGACTGCTTTTCACGAGTTTCATGTGATTTCATGTCCTGGCTGTTAATGGTTAATTAACTGTGGTTAATGAGTAGTTCACGTGGAATTAGTAGGTAGAGTAGTAATTTCTCAGTTTGGCTTCAAGCATATTTTCATGGTCAGAATTTAACCTCAGACATACTTAATTACACAATAAAGACCTGTTAGTACTGTACCTGTTTATTTGGAGGGGTGAGCCCTCATCTGGGTGGGCCCAGTGTGTGTGTGTGTGTGCAAAGTGAGTTTGTTCTGAAACAAGCATGGAAGTTGATGTAACCTGTTGGTGGTAAATGTTCCATTATAAGTTTAGTGAGTATTAGTATAATTATATTTTTATTATATATTATAATCTATGTTATAAATTGTATTTATTCATCTTGTTTTCTGTTCATCTTTGGTTATCTAGCTTATTAAAATATAAATATGACCTACAGTATGGTGTATGATACTCAGTATTGTTTTAGCAGGCAAAAGGAACCGTTGAGGGCTTAGACCACTTGCCCTGAGGAATCAAGGACAGAAGAAAGGAAGGAAGGAAGGAAGGACATAGGCTACTGTTGTCCTTTGCTTCTCACTCTATGCAAATGTATGCTGAGAAAGTTGTAACAGAGGGGAAGATGGGTGAGTGCTCTCTTTTTCTCCCCACCCCTTCTTTCTTCTACACACACACACACACACACACACACGGACTAAAATGCTGTGCTGGTCATGCCACAGCTCACGCTGCCTGTTCTCTGTATTGGGGACAAGACATCAGTGCACTTAACAGTTATCCATTAACAGGTTTGGTCAAAGCTGGTTAGCTGGATGTTCAGCTCAAAAAACATTACTCAAACTGATTGTAATCTACACTCACTGGCTACTTTATTAGGTACACATGTACAGTTGTATGCAATTCAGTTTCTAATATTCTGACCCTCTAATGCATGTAGCTGGGGAGGACAAATTATTAGGAACACCTCTGAACATAATGTAGTCCAGGACAACACCACCTTTATCTACAACCTCAATAATAAACATATAATTGAATTTATACATTTATGACAATTTTGCCAAAAACTGAAACATTTTGAGCTTCATAAACACAGATGTTAAGGTGAAGTGTTGCACTGATTTGCATACAGTTATACCAGTGTACCTAATAAAGCGGCTGGTGAATGTAGATTACAGTCAGTATGAGTAATGTTTTTTTTAGCTGAAAGACAAACTTCAAAAATGAATCCAGTGAACATCAAGAGAGACACCTAACCATGTTCTAACCCAGATAAGCATGTGATGGTGATGTTGATAACTGGGGCCAGGAATAAACAGTCTTTTACAGCAAATTACACTTAATTGCAACACATTATATTTACTGAAATAAGAGGACACTCCCCTGGCAGCCATAAACAAACAGCTCACTCTTCCCACATCACTGCTCTTATGAAGATCTCCTACCCAGTTCCAGCACATTCTTAACAGCATCAGTGAAACAGAATTAAAAGGGAACCAAAGAACCCACATGTGTCCTACTTGGCATTAGCAGTGTGGTGTGGAAGAGTTGGCCAAATGGTTTGCAGCTTCATGGCTCCTGATGAGTTTGCTGCAAAATATGTAGCACTTATATGGAAGTTCTGTGGTGTCTTGAAAGCCTTTGTCTACCCTTTGGATTGATCTGTCAGGGTGATTTTTATTTTTAAGTAGATATGATATAAAAGAACTCTCCTCACAGATCTCAAACCTTTTTATAAGAATTCAAATGTTCCAACTTTCCAGGGACAATATCGTAAATTCACTCTTTACATAATCCTGCTAGACAACAGTTAAAGTACCTACCTTACACTGCAGAGACAAATTGAGTACAGGTATATTGAATCCAGTAGTCTTTAGGTGAAAACTGATGTCATCTCCACATTTTCTATCATTCTCATCAGCAGGGCTTCTTGGTCATTGTGTCCTCATTGTGCTGCAACTTTCTGTGTCCTCACATGGCCAGCTAGACATTTGGTTTTACAGCTTCTGTTGCTTGACTGAAGGCGGTCCATCCAGACGCAGTGAATCAGGCACTGTCCATTATGTGTGTAAGAGAGAAACAGTCTTGTCAAGGCGGGGCACATACAGTATGATGTGGCTAATTTTGTGTATGTTTTTGAAAAACAGATATCCACACTCACACACAAAGGCTTCTGTCACATCTGGGCAGGTTATGTTCTTGATCAGGACACTATTTATTACATAATTATGTTTATTTTGGCTTTATTGCCATGACAACCTCTACAATTATGAGTCATAGCTTCAGCTATGTCTTATGTCTGTGTGAGGTCTCCTCTACACTGAATCCTACAGCAACTACGGTTACTGTTATCATTCTGATGCATGATCTTGCATTGCAAAAGACACATCCCACTGGCAACTGAGCACACGCTACCCAGTAATGGAAACTGTGTCATCCACTTGGAATCTCTGAATTGAAACCTAATGTTTTCCACAAAGGAATAGTCTGAGAAATCAGACAGAAGTCCATTCCTCTGTGGAAAACATTGGATTCACTCCAGGGCCTGCTTCTTCATAAGTGTTTTAGTCATGAGGGTAGATTTGACAAAACAGAGTCTTAATATAGTATCTATGCATGTGAGTACTTATTTTCATATTTATGTCTGGTTTAGAGAGGGTATGTACAGTCACATATCTCATGTGGTACACAGCTGCTGCTTTTTGACCTGCAGTGAAGTGCTGGGTGGGTGTAATGCACGCAAAGTTAAGTGTATCCCTCCCAAACACCGCCCAGTAAAGGAATAATGACACCTTTTTCTCCCTACTGCCTCTGGCTGGTCATGTGACTCACAGATGAGGACAGAAATAACCCAAAATAAATGTTAATGTACCTACCTTCCTAGTGTCCCGATCAAGAAAATAACCTGTCCAGGTGTGACAGAAGCCTTTGTGTGTGAGTGTGGATATCTGTTTGTCTATGTGGAAGGGTCACGTACAGTGAGTGACTCATACCTCTTGTGCCACCCTTGTTTACTACAGTGGCAAACTATCCAGTCTGACTATATGGCAGCTCTAAATGTTGATTGCATTGTCATATATTCCTGGTCCACAAGAGGTCCACAAGGTCCATTCTAAAACTTTCATCTGTTGAAAAGGCATCTTTTTTTAAACATGAATTAGATTTAAATAAGTTTGTAGTTTACACATTTATATCTGAGATATGTTTAACTTTATTGTAAAACAGTGTATTAGAGAAATATTTGTTAGTGCATCATATGTTTTCAAGCTATCAGATTACAATGTATTTATTAAACAAGCAGGTTGTAACAGAGCAGAGCAGTTGTGTAACTTGTCAGAGAAATGTGGTGGAAATAATATGTGGATGTCTAATGACATAATTAGTAGAATTACTAGGATAAAGTTAATATTAATAACATCTAATGCATCATTCAACAACACTTGGAGTACAAAGAAACACCCACTGTGGGTCATTGCATAAACAGTACATTCTAAAACGTTTTCTAAGAGATCTCTGTTTGAATCCTTGAACATAACACAGACAGTTTTATAGTATTCTTGTTATTATAATGTGATATATATACAATATAAGCGCACACTCAGCAGCACTCAGTACCCCAGTCACACACATACACACAGGAGAAGATGATCTCAGGTAGATAAGGACACAATGTTCTTTTTCTGTCTTGCATTGTAACTGGAAAGAGCGGTGTATTGAGGGGAAGAGAAGAGTTTGATGATGAAGATGAGGTGCGTGGAGGAAATTTGGGGGTATTTCTTGTTGCATCCCTGTGATAAAATCACGTGTTTGTGCCTGTTTGTTCCTCACTTTTACCTTTTATTTAATTTTTCAAAACTTATTTATTTTGGTCTCTGTCTGGATCCCCAATGTTAATTGCACTTTTACAATTTAAGAAACAGTAATTCAGTTATCATACTGACTGGATGTTTGGATGGGAAGCCTGAAGAAGGGAGGGGAAAGAGAAGGTGGGTACAGAAATGGAGGAGGAGCAGACATGAGTCACAAAGAGGCTATAGAGGAAGGAGAGACGTGAGTACAGAGGGAGGCAAGGAAAGGTAGGGAGTTCTCAATGAAACTCCAGTCACAGTGCAGAGAGAGTTGGCCAGGGTTGTGGTGTCAAGGTAGGGAGCAGATGTGAGCTGAAAGCAGAGAAGAAGGTTGAGGTCACTGGATTAGCAGGCCTACAAGGCTATCATGTTTCTTGATAACAGCGAAGAAATTCAGCAACCCTGGCACCAAGCAGACTCACTGGGTCTGAGTTGCTTAGTTCAACAGATCAAGACACAGGAGTCAGGAGGCTGCATATGAATTAAAGAGACAAATTTTGAGTTGGTAAATGTGCAGGATTGTTCTTGTTCTATATCCAGGCCTCCAGCATCTCAGTGGGTTTTTAATGTGCAAATAAAATAATAAAAATGCCTCCTTAGTAATGATGTGTAGCACACAACACCCTGCCTATGAACATTCACATTCTATAGGTCTATAGAGACAAAGATAGGATGGAAACCTGGCATTTCCTGGCACAATGACGAGACACTATTACACCATTATAGTCCTGAGTGCCTTTTGCAATGTAGTGAACAGAAATCCACAAGACGTCTGCACAGTTTTCTTGCTACAAGGATAACACAGCACTCTTAACACCCAATCATTGATGTGGTACATGGCTAAGGGTTACATTTGCTCTGTTCAGCATTTGTTTACTTCAGCTACAGATTGAATGACAGAATACATTTTTTTCATATGTATTATCAGTCACAGATGCTTGAGTCTACTTTAAAATTCATTCCCCAACATATGCTCACAAAAATCTCCACAGGTCTTTTTCACAGCAGATATTATGACATGTCATAAGTTTGCCTATTAGGTTGAACTGGTCCAGGGTTTTGCCACTGTGTATTTGTTCATCGCCGTGTTTTATTGGCTTAAATGTAATGAGGCCGCTGTTAATGTTATTAGTAGCACCAGTTTTTTTTTTTACTATGGCAAGTTAAATGTCCTATGAGAAAAATTCTCACACACTCGTGTGAGTGTGCAGGGCAAACATTCAGCAGTAGGATCAACCAGTTGGGGGGCTTTTTTCACTTGTATTGTTGTGATTGGCGACCACATTATGAAATGGGTAACAGCAAACGTCTCTCAAACATCTGATTCAATGTGTGTATATCAAAAGGTGTAATGCTTTTCCCTTGCCTTTGTTGGAACTGTTGCTCAAAGCTTTTTTTTGACAATGAGGATGCATTTATGTTTAATTGTTGTTTAATTATGAGGGAGGTGGCTGTCAGGCCGACAGTTGACAAAGAAGATTATTTTTGTATTTTCACTAAGCCTAATGCACGATAATACCAGAACCCTCCTCAGACCCTCCCGATAAGTCATAAGAAATCATTAAGGAGGGTCAAAACTAGCCTTCCATGCTGGTTTGGTACCTTTTATATGGAGCTGTGTGGCAGAAAATTGGTGCAGTAATCCCACCTTGAAGAGGCTATGGAGAAATAGAAGAGAGACAGGAGAATGAAATATGAGTGGACCTTTATTTAAGCAGACTTGTCAAAGCAGGAAACAGCAGGTGAAATTAATAAGACTTATTAAATCTCTGTGCCATTATAAGTGCCCTAGTAAGTCATGACAGTGAGCCAGCATGCTCAACATCAGGGCCCTAGACCTGGCTCACCTGAATGGATTTACCAGTGTCACTGATGGCACGTGTTTTTCATTTAATGTGCCTGCAATGAAAAATGTGTATTAACCTGTAGCTGTGGGTCAAGTTGACAAACTCTGCTGAGAGCAAAGGATAACAGGATCAGAAAGAGACACGCTGAGAACAACATCGCCATGCAGGTGCAAACACACAGTGTATGTGCACACAGCTCTCAAATGGCAGCGTATCCTAGTTTAAGAGTTTGTTCCAGCTTCATGGAGAAATGCTTGACTTTAGACTATTGATCTTTCCAGTCGGTGCCAGGGAATGTTCTCTATGCCCATTCACAGTGGGAGTGAGCTGAGACCAGTCATTTTGCTGATGTTTGTTGTAAGGTGGCTTCAGAGTCCAAACAGAGCTCAGATTAAACTCCAGCAACCTGAAAATTTTGCAATGAATTATTTTGTCAAATATTTGCAAAGATATAGAGTATAAATGGCAGCAGCAACACAGTTAACTGTAGTCCACGGTTGCACTTTGATTTCATGACTTGAGTCTTCTCTTCAGCCTCTATAGTAACTGTTGACATGTCATGTAATAAAAAAAACTCGAGTGCTGCTGCATACAGTGTGTGCACTGGCAGGTATGCATCCACGTGAATGTCTCTGTGTACACATACTCTCAAATGTACACTCATGTACAGTATGCATGCATGTGCCTGCAGGGAGCAGGGCAATCTCTCTGACCTGTGTGTTGACCCCCTGTCGGATGATTGGAGTGTGTGTGACTCTGATGACCTTGGGAGCTATTGGAGCCGCTGTCTGGGCAGTAGGTCAGACCACATGCTCATACACACATACACACTTTGTCAGACATATGATGACCATAATCAGTTGTTTTTTTATGTTTTAGGATGTCTATATTCTGTAGTTCTCACTGTCAAAGATTTGATGATCAAATGTCTTTTATTACAATTTATTCCACTACACTGACTTAAGAAAAACTTTTTTGGATACTTTTCCATAGTTACTTATTGCACAATGGAAGAGGACATGGGACTGTATGATGGTGAGTTCAGGAGAACATACTCATGTTTTTAACTTTCATGCATTTATACATAATCTTATACCAGAGTGTAATGAAAAAAGCAGTATATGCATTGTATTGTGCATTCAGGGACAGATGATAATTGTATTATCAAAATAAACTGCCATTTAAAGAACTACATTTTTATAAACCAGGTTCTGCAGTAGAACAAAATACACATATGATCATCACAATCACAGTTAGAAAGGAAAAATAATAAATCTATGTGACAGGTAATTGGGAGTACTTGATATTTTACCAAGCTTGTATTAAAAGTAAACTCATATCATCCCTTCAGTTCAGGTAAATTCTGCTGACCAACATCTCAGAGTCTTTGACTCCACCCAGAAGAGGTGGCGTCAGGTTTGTTCCTCCTCAGCCAATGAACTGCTTGCTAGCATCAGCTGTGAAGAAGTGGGCTTTGTTAGGTGAGCTATTTTTGCAGTTACTGTAAATCTCAGTGTTTTCACGGAGTGTAGTGTACTAATGTGTGTGTGTGTGTGTGTGTGTGTGTGTGTGTGTGTGTTCAGTGTGTTGCATGAACTACTCAGTCACATCGGTACAAGAGGCCAGTGGAGATGGTGGCGACTTCTTCTGTGTCAGACAGGAAGAGCTCAGCTTCGGCAAGAAAATCAAAGACTCATTGTTCCCATGGTAACAAACACCTGTCTGTTCAACCCTGTACATGTCTCAGAGCAATGTGACCTTCTACCACACTGCCCTCTCTGTTGCTCTACCTGCCTCAGTTGTCTACTCATTTAATGTAGAAGTGCTTCACCGAAAGTTAATTTGAATATTATTCCTGTCTCGCTGTTACTAACTCTGCCTTTGTTTCAGTGACTGTGAGAGCAGAGAGGTTCTCACACTGTTGTGCCAAGGTAAGGTGTGAGCACAGACCTAAACTTGTTCAGTTTGACACACTTTATACTTTAACCTCTCACATGCTGGGCTTGCAATCCTGCCCCTGATGCTTTTGAGCTTTTCACAGCCTTTATGCTTATATCACCTGTTTATTTAGCATTTTATTGCTCAGTATTTCACTCGTTTATTCTCATTTTTGCATAATGTTCGTTTTTTAGCTACAGTGAAGTAAACATTTACTTTTCTCTCCCTCCCGCTGATCTTTCCCTCCTCGTCTCCTTGACAGACTGCGGCAGGCGTAGTTTTGCAGCAGACCGTATAGTTGGTGGTGTGGATGCCAGACAGGGCAGCTGGCCTTGGCAGGTCAGCTTGCAGTATGATGGAGTTCATCAGTGTGGAGGGTCCATCATCTCAAACCAGTGGGTTGTCTCTGCAGCTCACTGCTTCCCCGAGTAAGTGACAGAGCTTGAATTTGTACAGAAACAATAGCTAGGACATACTTGACAAATTGGAATGAGCTGGCTCCTGAAGGTCTGTTCAAAATGCTGGGGTTTTTGTTTATAATTTTTTATGTGTGAAGGTGCTTCATTTTCAACACAAGACATTTTAGCACAGAATTTGTACGTATTGTGCCAGTGGGATACAGGGAGAGCCATGTTACCAGGTTGTTCTGGTGTAACTATAGAGTATTTGTTCCATTCCTGGTTAAGGTAGTGTGTGCATTAGTATTGATGCTGTGTATGTGGAGACCTGAATAAGCTTAGAATAAAAAACATGGGCCATCTTTGCATCTATCTCTTTCACACTTTCCATGCTAGACGATACCGCTTTGTTAATCGCTGGCGTGTGCTGCTGGGCTCCATCTACAATAAACCAGTCAATGCCAACGTGGTGGAGGTGAAGACCATCGTTTATCACAGCAGCTACCTGCCCTTTGTAGATGCTAACATTGATGACAACAGCAGGGACATCGCTGTTCTGGCCCTCACCCAGCCACTCACTTTCAATGGTAGGGCATTGAATGACAAGAGAGACAGACGTGCATGCCTATTCTCTCAGACTCATCTACACACACCATTTGATTGCATGATTATAATCATTAAAGGTGAGAAAGGATGTCAAAGAACAGGATGTAACCACCAGCTCTTTGATGCTTTTTTCCTGTCCTGGGCTCTCTGCACTCCTTTAATAAAAGGACCACACTTTAATGAGATGAGGGCTACAGTAGCTCATCTATCCTCTACTGTTGTGGTACTGTAATCTACTGAGTCAAGCAAAAGGATGAGGAGAAATACCAGTGTGATTTATACCAGCATGTCACATTTGTGCACAGCATAAAGTGCTCGTAGAAACTATGAAAGCAGTGGTTCAGTAGCTCATGTCTGCCACCTGTTGTTGTTCCAAGAATCATAGAAAAGTTCATGGACCTTTGCTTGAATCTCTGTCTGTATTTTTACCTTTTTTGTGTTGTGGATAATAAGTTACCTGTTGCACTCACCTGTTAAAAAAGTATTTTATTCAGACATGACTAAACTGTTCTGTCATTCCCTGTGTACAGACCATAAATGCAAAGATATTACAAGTTATAACTGAGTGAGAACAAGACTGGGACCATAAAATTAAATGAAACCTTACTGAAATCTGCAGTTTCAGCTTATTTATACTGCAGCTGGGCAGAGCAGCCATCCCAGTCCCTCTCATTGAAGAGTGCTGATGACTTGATGCATTTGTCTCCCTGTTCTGACACGTTGCAGTGGTTTCTAATGCATTTTATTATGTTTGTGATGATGTGTGTTTGATGCTAAAGTATTACTTTGTACATGTGTCTGCATATATCTTAATGCATGTCTGTGTGCAGAGTACGTCCAGCCTATTTGCTTGCCAGCATATGGTCAAAGACTGATAGATGGACAGATGGGAACAGTAACTGGCTGGGGAAATGTAGGATACTATGGTGAGTCTGCTTTTCATTACAGCTGTACTGTAATACACTGCAGAAAATTATTTGTTGGATGACATTATTTATTGATATTGGTGGTAGTCCCTGTTCGCCTTGGTTTGCAGTGGTTGTTTTTGTATTTCAAACTTTCTTTTCAGCCTAGAGGGTCCAGAATCAAAACAACATAAGCTTCTCCTAACCGCGCTTTGTCCTCCCATCACCTCATGTTTCCTAGCGACAATATAAACTACAGATGCCTGGTTGCAGCAAACTGTACAAAATGCAGCAGTGTGCAGCTAGTGTTAGCTGACTAACAAGTAAACTTGGCAATCCAGTAGTACGCTCTGCTTACTGCTGATGTGACACAAAGCACACACAAAGCTCAAATTACTCAGAAATTGAAATCACATTAATTCAACACAAAGGTAAAATCATGACCATGCTACAGTAGGTTGCTAATGTTACCTAAAAAACACATTAGCTTTAGATGTTAACACACAGAGAAGGAAGAAAGACATCTGTAGCAAATCTGAGTCTTTTGTCTGCTTTTAACCCTCTCCATCTCAAAAAGCCCTACTCTGGTTTTTGATCTTTCTTTGGCCTGTGACACAACAAACCAACAGTCAGCTGTCGGCCACTGTAGGGCCATCTGTGAGTGTCTGTTTTTGGGGTGTGTCCCACACACTTGGTGCATCTCTGCCTTTGTCACACTCTCTTTGAGAGTGAACACGGCCTCCACTGTTTCAGACTTTTAGCAATCGAGAGCTCGTTCATGGCTGGCTGTTTGAAATAACTCTTTGCAGTTCAAAAAGCATTTTATAACTTTTGCTAGGTGGTAGCTGTAGCTAACGTCCAGAATGTATGTTGATAACACGTCTTAGCGAAGCTGGACTAACCACAGAACCGCTGAAGGGAGTGTCATTGAGGGGGTTACTATCGCTGAGAAACACCATGTCCTGTCCCGTTTGCAGAGCACCAGAGAGGTAATGGGACAGGACTTGAACTGTTTGCTGTACATGCTCAGGGTGATAAAAGGGACATCTGTGCTGAAAATCACACCTTTAAACATCTCAGTGTGCCATTACAACAAACTTTATCAGTGTACACTTAGATCAACTTAAATATAGGGTAGAATGGTGAGAACTGCATGACTGACAATCACCATACTTAAAAGAACTTAGAGTAATTGCTACTTATTGATGCACATCCTACATGTTTTAATTTAGGTGAAACCCCTGTACAGTATTATTGTTCTTGACTGTTTTTGAACTCTCTGACTTGCAGGTCATCTGGCGGATGTTCTGCAGGAAGCAAATGTTCCCATCATTAGTGACGCTGTCTGTAACACTCCTGATTACTACGACAATCAGATCACCACCAGTATGTTCTGTGCTGGTTATGAGAAGGGAGGCACTGATGCCTGCCAGGTCAGAGTGTGTTTGTTTAAGCATTCTGCTGCATAAATGCATGTGTACATGTTTGGATTTCTAATTAGGGAACTCTGTGCCTCCATGTATGTCTCTTCTGTGCTCAGTCTGCTGTGGCTCCTTCTGCTGTTGGTTGTATGTCTGTAGTGTGAATGCATATACCTGCTTGTCTGATACATTATTGTATTTTTATTTATTACATTTTGGTTAATGTTTGCCTAAAATTGGTTTCAGGGAGACAGTGGTGGCCCTTTTGTGGCAGAGGACTGCCTATCTAAGACCAGTCGGTATCGTCTGCTGGGGGTGGTGAGTTGGGGAACAGGCTGTGCTATGCCCAAGAAACCTGGGGTCTACACCAGAGTATCGCGGTTTCTGCCCTGGATATCTACTGCCATGAGGGTGAGAGACTGGACGCCTTGCATTTTATTGTATTAGTATATTTACATCAGTGCATGAGTGATAGGCTTGTGTATCTGAGAGTAAATGGAAAAACGCATAAGAATGGAAATAGATACTGGAGCAGCAGTCTCTGTTATATCTGAAAAACGGTATAACCGCAGGTTTATTAAAGAAAAACTGAGGCCTACAAACTGTGTGTTGGTAACATACAGTAAACAATCTTTGAGGCTAAAAGGACAGATTACTGTAAAGGTGAGATGTAATGGGAAAAACATTTTAGTTTTACCCGGTTCTTTAATCTGAAGGCCCCAAGAAGTAACACTCGGGATACAGGAATCAGCTTTACATAGATTTATTTTCTTCTGGTTAGATGCAGAGTTATTACAGCGCGCTGGGCTCTAAGAGATGACAAGTCTCCAAGAGCATAGATCATCACAAAACGTTTACATTTATCTTCTTGGCTGGGACTGCCCTGTACATGGGTGGTACATTATACGTCAACATTCTAGAATGTTCATATAGGCAGTAGGTGTGTGTGTATGTTGTCACCTTTTGTGGCAGAGGACTGCCTATCTAAGACCAGTCGGTATCGTCTGCTGGGGGTGGTGAGTTGGGGAACAGGCTGTGCTATGCCCAAGAAACCTGGGGTCTACACCAGAGTATCGCGGTTTCTGCCCTGGATATCTACTGCCATGAGGGTGAGAGACTGGACGCCTTGCATTTTATTGTATTAGTATATTTACATCAGTGCATGAGTGATAGGCTGTTAATGTAATAATATAATATAGAAAAAGTTTTTGTAATAAGTAGCCTATTCATACTTTTAATACTTTAAGTACATTTTTGTGTTATTACTTTTACTTAACATTATTACTACAGGTGCTAACATGCAAATTAATATGCTTTAGTTATTTAACTAGTTTAGTTATTTAGTTATGTGCTGTTTTTAAATCATCGTTTATTCTTTAGGATCAATCTAGTGCTGCAACCCAGCTCAGTCAACTAGCACAGTCACTTGCAATAAAACAGACCCTCTTTTATTCTTCTGAGGGATGCTGTAGCTCATAATAATAGTAATGTGTAATGTGTAAACTGTAATTCCATGAAGCCATGATATTTTCTAAGACTGTTATCAAACAGTGAAAATCTCATACTGTACCTCTCTCCAGAACTACCACAACTCACCGGGGGTTCACAAAATGGCTCGGACATGAGATTCCTGCACTCGTGTTTCTAATTTTTTCTACTCTTGGATGACAATATCCGATGGATGTCAAGGGGAAGCCTTACAACAGTAGAACGAAAGGTTGTGTTCCCCTTGTATCACAGCTCCAGAAATTAAAACATTTTACTGAGAATTGACCCATCTTTTGTACTACAGTATTCTCCTCTGTTAAATGTATGCTGGTATCATAATCCTTGCAGATTAACACAGACAGCGGTCTTTAAAAGACATTAAGTTTTTAAGCAAAGAATTACTGAGTTATCTAACTTTGTTATTATAAAGTTATTAAGACATTATCAAGGAGATCTTGATAAAAGACCAAAAATAATATCTGAATCACTATACTGGATTTAACAAGACAGTTTTGTAAAATATGAGATTATTTTTCTAAGATTTTTTCTTCTTCTATCGATTTTTTCCACACACTAGTGCAATGCCACCAGAACTTAAAAAAAACACTAAAATTATGGATCAAACAGAAATAAATTCAGAGGTTTAATCTGTTTCTTCTAAATGCTTCATTTCTTCAGCAGTGAACAGTCTGCTGCCAGTGTGCACAGCAGCTACAGTGATTTGTAACCAAGTTCAGTGAAGTTATCAACATTTTAGTACTATTACACAGTGCAACATACAGGCAAGCATTAATTAAACTGTTAGTCATATGATTACATGTCCTGTGTTTTTCATGATTATTCATACAAGGTCTGTCTTACCAAATTCCCACATGATGGAGATGATGCTCATATTCAAGTCAGTATTTTGTCCTTTTGTAAATATTTGTTTGTGTCTTCTTTATTACTCCAAGATTCCCTCATCAGCAAGATAGTCAACATGTGTGAAGAGTCAACTGAGAGAAATAATTTCTAATCTGGACTGCTAACTAGTTAAAACTTGACTTGAAAGAACTTGTGAATACAATGCCTGTGACATGATTGCGTAACACAGTGTCCTCACAGAAGATGTGATGATGCCTTGAATTTTCACAGCTGTGAAACTCCCAACTCCCAACCCAGTGTTTAGAGTATCCTACTTAGACAGTATACCAGTCACGGCTGAGGAGATAGCCAATGAGACACAAAAAGATCCGATTCTGGAAAGGGTGAAACAGTATGTCATGTTAGGATGGCCAAACCACATAAAAGAGGAAGTCCTACACCCATATGTGAATTGAAAGTTTGAACTCACTGTGGAAAACGATTGCATGCATTGGGGATTGAGAGTGGTCATACCAGAGGTGTTGCAGAGCAGATGTTGTCAGAGTTACATGACGGCCATTGGGGGGTGGTTAAAATGAAAGCTCTGGCTAGAAGCCTGTTTTGGTGGCCGTCTCTCGATGAAATTTTGATGATATATAGATGTAGACATGCCTTTAACCAGTCATTTGCATGAAGAAAAATGGTCTCTGAACCATACAGTGTTACATATGGCAATTAAAACAATGCTAAATAAAAAGCGCTGTTTCAGTGAATGTGAAATTGAGAACCTTGGAGCAAGGCTGGATTAAGGACAGGGCCAGTGGGGCCAGCACCCCAGGGCCTTGGGCTACCAACTCTGCTTCTTAGGTCTTAAAGTCCCAAATCCAATAATGTGAATTTTAGACCCAACAAGTCACAATCATTGTGTAGGTAGAGGGGCCTCCAAAAGTGAAGCGTCACAGGTCCTCCCAGGATCATAATCCAGATTTGACTTGGAGAGGTGGAGAAAAGAAAAGATGATGATAATGGCCCCCAGTTCACTTCACTATATGTGTCTCACTCACTAGTAAACGAAAATGAATTAGCAGTAATATCAGTTTGCAGAATAATTTTAGTTTAAACAAAAAAAGGAAAATTGACATCAACGGGAAAATTTATTAGGCCAGCATAAATGCAGTGTTTACATATATTTCCGTCCATAAAGTTTATTTTTAAACAACTAAAACTAATGTAAGCTGTTTAGAATTTCCACTTCACCATATCACATCTACTCAAACTGGTAGAAGTCCTGGTCTGAAGAATGTGTGTGGGGCACATATTCGTCCTGCACACCCTCTGGCTCCTGCTGTTTTACAAATTGTTTCCTGACGATTCCTGATTTGGTGATCCTAATTCAGGGATCAGGAGGAGAAAAGCTGCTGAATGACAAAAAATAGCAGAGAACAAGAAGAAAGTTTTATTTCTCTTCTTGGGAAGACTACTGTTTCCTGTTCCTGGGGTAATCGTAACCACTTCCTGTTTACCGTGCTGTGCTTGCTACCAGATTGTTTAT